AGGCTCCGTTTGCACGGGGGCTTTGAGGAGGGGAGAGGTCATCCAAGGGTTTCGGGGGGGCTCCGGCGGCTGCCACCATGCCCTTCGGCCACCTGAAGTTCAAGGAGCTGGGTGAAGAGGAGCCCACCTGGGAGGAGGAGAGCCTGGACAGCGTGAAGGCGCTGACGGCCAAACTGAAGCTGCAGACGCGGAGACCCTCCTACCTGGAGTGGGAAGCCCGGGTACGGGGGCAGCCCTGGCGTAGCCGGACCCCCGGGGGGGCGCGGAGGGCAGAGCAGGGCTCCGGGCACCCTGACGATGAGCAGGACGGCGGCATCTGTGGCTTTGCCACCGTGGAATCGGCTCTGGAGTGGGTCAGGACAGAGCTGGTGAGTAGCTGCCGGTGGGATGCGGGGCGTGAGGGGTGGGCAAGGGCTGAGCCCCAAGGCAGGGATGGGGTCACGGGGGTCCTCCGCGCAGAGGGAGCGCTTGCAGCCCGACCTCATGCAGCAGTGGCAGCATGTGCCGGAGTCAGGGCGCTCCAGCCGCAGCGCAGTGCGTTGCTCCTTCGCCCAGCACGGCCGGCGTCCGTGGATTTTTGCAAGGCGCGTGTGGCTCTGCGGTGCCGCAGCTCTGCCCGTGTCCCCTGCACAGCGCTGGGGCTCACGGCTCTGTCAGGGTCTGCACTTGTCACCCCCGCCTGCCTGCTCCCCTGGTGGCACGGCTGCGGTGGACTTCATTGATGTGGCACAGCCGTGGTGACCGGTTTACTTCATTGATGTGGCACAGCCGTGGTGACTTTCATGGGGTGGCGCAGGCGGCAACAGCCACGTGGGTACAAACCCACGGGCATCTGCGCTGACCCCGGGCTGTGACGCCAGCACAGACCCTGTGCCGAGCCTGGGACTGTGTGCGTGGGCTCTGCTGATCCCAGGGCCACGTGTGCAAACGGTCCCCGGTGGGTTTGTGCCTCAGCCAAGCCCCAGCCCCGCTGCCCCAGCATCCCCGCTGCATGGGCAGCTGACCCGGCGGCCGGTCCCGTTCCGGCCCTGACGCCCGTCTCTCCGTGCAGCGGGAGATGCAGGCTGCAGACCAGCGCCTGGCGCAGCAGCTGATGCGCCTGCGGGCGCAGCTGCACCAGCTGAAGGTGGAGCAGGCCTGCCACCAGCACAAGGAGATGCTGGACGACGCTACCTTCGGCCTCGAGGGCTGCGAGGAAGACTCGGACCTGCTCTGCAACATCCCGCCCAAGGCTGCCTTCCTGCTCTCCATGCCGCTCAAGCACATCGGCGTCACCCGCATGAACATCAACTCCCGACGGTTCTCCCTCTGCTGAACGTGGCGGGACCCCGCGGAGTGCTCGGCACCGAGCCCAGATGGGAGCCTCGCAGGCACCCATGGGTGCATCCCAACCTGGTGGGGCTTGCAGATCCTTCCCAAAATGCCTCGGGGACTTGCGGAGCTGCTGCCGGGGCTGAGCTCCCTCAGGGCAGGCAGCGCTGAGCCGCGGTGCTGCCAGCCCTGCCCAGGGGGCAATGCCATGCCAGGGGGGGCATGGGAAATGCCACCATCCCCGTTGGGCACAGGGTGTTTTGGGGCACCCAGTGCCCCGTCCCTGAGGATGGTGGGGTCAACCACAGTGGAAAATGTGGGGAGCAGCCCTTTGAGGAGGAATAAAAGGAGGCGAAGATGAGAGCTGATGTGCCTTTTGTGCATGCACCCGGGACCTGCCTGCGCCTGCAGTTGTGGCTCCCGGGCCTTTGCTGTGGGGGGCCGGGGGATGGCAGGAGGGACCACGCTGCCATCACCCCTTCCCTGGCCGCTCCCCAGGGCTCTGGCTGACGGGGTGAGCGGCTTCTCACCGGTTTCTGCTGCAGGATGATGCCGTGCTGCAGAGACGGTGTCTCTGCTTCGGGGACCTCGTTGCCAGCCTCTCCCTGGGCGCCCCTGGGCGGGTGGGTGATCGGGCTGTGCCATTGCAGGAAATGCTCGTCGCTGAACCGGCTGCGAATAGAAGGGGTTGTTTTTGAGGCTTGAGGCCGGGAGGTGCCGGGGGCCGTGCTCGGGGTTTGGCAGCCCCCGTGCCACCATCCTGCCCCATCTCCCGACCCCCTGCAGCGCTGCGCCGGGAGCAGGAGGGACCCCGGGGGTAGTGCCAGTCAGGGCTGGCAACGCTGCCCTCACCGGAGGGGTTTGGTTTTTAGCTTTTTTCCCTTCCTCCATTAACACCAAACCCTTTACAAAAGAAGTTGCCGCTGGGGGATGTGACTTTCACAGAATGCTTTTTGCAAGCAGTGCCGGGGAAGATGTGGGGTGACCCAGGGAAGCTGTGGGATGACCCAGGGATAACTTCAGGGGCTGCTTCTCCTTCCCAGGGTAGCAGCAGGACACAGGGAGAACCCGATGTGCACCCCGAGGCTGTGACACACCCCAGGGTCTGGCAGCGCCCCCCCCGCCACCCCTTGCCCGGGGCACCCGGGGCATTGGCAAGCACGATGGGAACGGGGCTGCGTGGCTGCCCCTGGGAAATGTCCCTGCCAGGGTGGATGCTGCGTCTGGTGCTACCGCTGCGGTGCCCCCACAGCTGCTGCAGCCCCCCCCCGGCGCAGCTGGGCTTCCTGCCCGTGCCTCCGCAGAGCAGCCGTCAGGTACCTGCGGCTTCATGTTTGATCACAAAAGCCAAGACAATAGCGTTGTGGTTGCTCTGCTCTGAGCTGTCTCCAAAAACACGGGGCTGGCAGCCTGGCCGGGGCATGTGTCCCCTTGGCTTCAGCCACTGTCACCGCGGCTCTCGGGGCACCAGGGTCTGGGGTGACCCGATGGTGACGGCCAAAGCAGGGGCTGTGGGATGCAGGGTGAGTCCCGCAACCTGCATAGGGTCCGCTGGGGTCAGGGGCGGCTGGTGCACGGCACCGCCAGCCTGCCCACGCTGAGCACCGGAGAGGGGACAGTGCAGGGGACCAGGGGGGTCAGCTAGCCGGGACCGCCCGGGCAGCGGGTGACAAACCCCTGCCCATCGCTGGCCCCTCGCAACACATCTCCCAGCACGTGGGACCTTGCTCCCCCGACGGCTGAGGGGCTCCGAATCCCCTTGTCCACCCGGTCCCTGGGGATTGGTGGCTGGGGGCACCCAGAGCAGGGACCCTCTGTGCCGGGGATGGCAGGAAGCCATCGGGGTTTGTCACTAGCTCTTGCGGTTGTGCGCGAGCTGCGAACCAGCTTCTCTAGAGTTTGCTCATGAGGCAGGAAACCAGGCCAGGCAGCGAGCCAGAGCGAGTGGCGGGGGGGGGGGGCGTGCGCCCGCGGGCGGGGGGCTCAACTCCGCTCCCCAGAGGGTCGCCGCGCTCCTGCCGGGGATGGAGAGGATGTGAGCGGGGACGGCGCCTTCGCTCTTGCTGCCGGGCCATGGGAGTCTGAGAGTGGCTGGTCCTCACCTCGCTGCCAACAGGTAAGGGGGACCTGGGGGCGAGAGGGTTTGCACCCTCTGGACGGGAGCCGGGGACCACCCGGGTGCCTGTGGAAGCTGCGGGGTCCTGTTGCACTCTCTGAGGTTGCCCCTCGGGGGGATGAAAATGAGGGTTCGGGCTCGTCGCTGCAGGGGGACGTGAGCGCTGGTGCCCGGGCGAGGGATGGGGGGAGCAGGGCTGTGCTCCCCATTCCTCTGTGGCCTCCCAGTTGGGGTGAAAGCCGCTGCCCTGATGCCCTCTGCCCACCTGGGGAGCCTGCCCAGGGTGGGAGCAGTGGTCCCCTCGCAGGGCTCTCCCCGAGCCCCCATTTCCAGGGCAAAGCGGGAGTTTTGTCCCCAACGCCAGGCTCTCCCCTCCCCGGCTGTGGGGGTAGAGCAGCTTAGGGACAGGCAGCTGCTTAGTGCCGGTCCATTGGGGTCCACCGCCCAGTTTGGGGGGTTCAGACACTGAGATACGCCTGGTTTCGGTGCCGTCTCAGTGCAAACACCTCCCCGCTGCGATGGCAGCTTTGGGGCCGTGGTCCTTCGCACCTCTGCAAGGCTACGCCAGCGCTGGGCTGACCGCCCAGCTGGGTCACAGCTGGCCTGGGGACATCCGGGGCACCCCGGTGAGCCTTGAAGAGCAAGGGGTCAGCCCAGCCTTCAGCCCTCCTCACGCCTGCCCACACTTGTGAACAAACCAATTGGACCCGGCCGAAGAAGCGTGTGCGGAAGGGCCAGCACAGGGTAGCTCCTCTGGAAAGAGCCGGGGGGGTCCAGACACGCTCCTGAGCAAAGCCGGGCAGAGGCACATACGTGGCCGTGCAAGGACATGCGTGCACACCCGTGCACGCACGCAGACACCTCCCCGGGGACACGGCGAGGCATGGGGCAGGGGCGCCCACACATCCCTCCCAGGCAGCCTTCGTATGAGAAATTCGGTTGCACAGATGCAGTCACAAACAGCAGACACACTCCTGAGCAAAGCCGGGCAGCACATATGTGGCCGTGCAAGGACATGCGTGCACACCCGCGCCCGCACGGCGACTTCGGTTGCACAGATGCAGTCACAAAACCCGACTTCAAACGCCCCGTTTCACCGGCGTGGCCCTCGCACCGTGCAGGTGAAACGGCTGCTCGGTGGAAATTACGCTGTGGCTTGAGTTCATAAGAAAAAAAAAAAAATAAAAGGCACAATAGCAGCACCTCCCTCCCCACCCCGGCTTTGTGCAGGAAGGAAAAAACACCTCCTGGCGCCGCTCACCTTTGGTAAAGGCGTTTGAAGGGCTGCGGGCAGGTCTGGGGGAGCAGGGGCTTCTCCTCGGTGGTGCCAGGGTTGTGCTCAGGGCTGGGTATGGGCTTTGCTGCTGCCTGGGCATCGCTGGGGTCTTGCCTGCTCCTCCTGCCCGCACCAGGGCACCGCGGCGTGGTTGAGCCCGTTTTTGGGTGCCAAAGTGTGTTCCCAAATAAGCGTCACTGGAAGCTGAAGGCACCAGGGTGCTTTTTAGCATTTAGGTCCCCAAAGCAGCATTGCACGGCATGGGGAGGGCTTGCTCATCTGCCCTCTCCTTGCCAAAATCGCCTGTCGCCTGCTCCCGTCGGCCGCCGTGGCACCGGGCATCCCGGGGCAGCACTGTGGGGACGGCCCCCATGTCCCTGCTGTGGATGCCAAAACAGCTGCGCCGTCCCCGAGGGAGGGGGCTCCTGGTCTGCAAAACTAGCCCTGGCAACGCGGGCTGGGGGGTTCTGGCTGGCAGCAGGCTCTGATGGCTGGGGCTGGTGGCACTGGGGGCTGGCAGCACCCTGGGGACCCCCTGCGAGGCTCTTCCCTGTGTCCCCATCTGTCCGTGGGGGTACCCACTCAAACGAAGCCCCCGCTGCCGTGCTCTCCCCGGCAGCACGGAGAGAGGCGGATTTCAGTGAAATTGTGCTTGTGAAAACACAGCGGTGCAATGGCTCCCGGGGAGGAAACCACGGAGAAAACGGTGATGGCAGTGTCGGTGGCCAGCAGCTCCTGGGGCTCAGCTGGCCCGCCGGGGACACGGCTCGCTGCGGGGCACAACGGGGACCCTTGCAGCTGCACCACCTCGCTGCCAGATAAGAGCTCCCACTCGGCGTTTGCAAAAGCGGCTGCTGATTTTGGGTGCCGGGGCAGAGACACCTGGGCTGGCTCTCGGCAGCGTGGGGCTCCCAGCCGTGCCGTTGGCACCCGATGCCTGCGGAAACCACACCGGGGCCCCCAAAGAGCCCCCAAAGCTGCTGGGCAGAGCCTGGAAAGAGGATTTGGGGGCCAGGTCTCGGTGGAGATAAATCCTGGTGGTGTAGGCGTGGGGGATTCTGCAGAAGAGCTTTTTCCAGGGCCGTGGGCCACTGTTTCCGCGTGATGCACTGCCAGGGCTCCCGGCTCCGTGCCACGCTTGGCTTTTGCAGGAAGGTGAGAGCTGCCTGGGTAATTTGCAGAGCCCACGCGATGCTCGTGGCATCGCTGCCAGGCTGCCCCGGTGCCCACGCCATGGTGCCGGGAACCCTGGGGCGCAGCCCCGCGCCGGCTTGGTGTCACCTTGGCCGGGGCTGATGCTTGAAGTTGGGGGATTCTTGATGTTTCAGGGTGAGCTGCCGAGGATGAGGGGCCCCCGAGTAGGGATGGGGGTTTAAAGGACATCCCTGATGCAGGAGAAACAGGAGCACAGCAACGGGGCTGAATGCGCCGGGGGAGGCTAACAAGAGCCCCGGGGGAGAAGGAAATCGGAGGCGATGCAGCGTGGGCGAGCGCTCGCATCCGCCTCTGACCCCAGGGCCTGCTTTTAGGGCCGGGGAGGTGCCTGGTCCAGCCAAACCTCGGGCCACGCGATGTGGGCAGCCAGACGGATGGACGTGGGGATGGGGATGCGCTGGAGTGGGAGGAGAGGCCAGGCTGGGGCCGGGGGTGCGAAGGCTTCCCTCACCGCGTCTCGCCCCCCTGCAGCCACCATGGGCTGCTGCTGCAGCTCGGACTACGACGAGGACTGGATCGAGAACATCGACATTTGTGAGCACTGCAATTACCCCATCGAGCCCGACAGCAAGCGCCAGGTGAGGAGGGGGCGAGCGGACCCCCCGTCCCCGGTCCCAGTGGCTGAACGCCTCCGGAGATGGCCGTGGAATGGCCAAATCCCAGGAAGGCGAGGGCTCACGGGGCTCCTCGTCCCCTCGCAGAGGCTGATCCGCAATGGCTCTGAGGTGCAAGACCCCTTGGTGTCCTACGAGGCCACGTCTCCGCCGTGCTCCCCCCTGCAAGGTAAGGTTCGGCCGCAGTGGGGGGCGGCTGTGGACACTCCCCCACTTGGCCGCTGCCACCCTGCCCCTCCGCTTCTCCTCCCAGATAAGCTGGTGGTGGCCCTGTACAACTACGAGCCCAAGCACGACGGGGACCTGGGGATGCGGAAGGGTGAGAAGCTCCGCATCCTGGAAGAGTGAGTGAGCGCCGACGGCGTCCCAGGACCCGCGCCGGTGTGACCCCGCGGGTCCTCGGATGGCATGCCGGTGCTGCCGGGGGGATCCGTGCGGGGTCCTGGCAGCCGGGGCGGGTCTCACCTTGCTGTGTCCTTGCAGGAGCGGGGAGTGGTGGAAGGCACAGTCGCTCACCACTGGCCAGGAGGGTTTGATCCCCTACAACTTCGTGGCCATGGAGAGCAGCCTGGAGCCCGAGCCGTGAGTAGGGGTTGAGTAGGAGCCGTGCCCCGGCAGGAGC